ATTTCCGGCATCAAGTTAAAAAAAAAAAAAAAATTGACGAGATTTAAACGAAATGAATTTGAAAAACAAAAACGAAAAAAAAAAAGGAAAAGGAAAAATTACAACCCTTTAGAGACCGACACGTCATAGAGTAAGAAAAAGAAAAGAGAAAAGAAAAAAGAAAAAAAAAGATTTGAAACTTATTTATAGAATCGCAAAGTAATTCGGATAAAATTTATTTTTAAAATCATCCGAAAGGAAAAAGTCAAAAGATTTATTATTATTATTTTTTTTCCACTTTTTTCCTTTTTTTTTTTAATTGTCGCACGATATATATCTATATATATTAAACTCGATTTACATCAATGAAATAATTCGACAAAAAAAAAAAAGAAAAGAAAAGAAAAAAAAGAAAATTATTTCCTTTTTTTTACCCGTAATTTATTTATTTTTTATCTTACTCGTGGACTGTGCGCGAAAACGCGCGAAATTGTGCGCGCGCGCGCACGCAATCCTTCGACGTTTTTCTCTTGCCACGACTCCTCTCGCGACTAACGTTTTTAATTATGCATTTCCAAACATGGCGGCTTTTATTATTAAAAAAAAAAGCAAATCATTTACCGAAAAAAAAGGAAAATTCTTATTTTTTAATTAAAATCGTGTAATTTTATAAAATCCGAATTAACGTTAATTAACGACAAAAACAAAAACAAAACGATTTTATTTCCGACTGGAGAGGATTTTGATAATTAACTATTAATTAATAATATTTTTGAAACCTTGTATTTTACACGAAATAAATTTCTTTCTCTCTCTCTCCCCCTCCCTCCCTCTTTCTTTCTCTTTATTAAAAAGAATCCTAGACGGTTTTTCCTTATTTGGCATCCGACAACATGAGAAAAGGAAAAAATTAAAAAAAAAATCGATTCTTATTTTGAAATTAATGTCGTTCGTAAACTCAATTACATTTTTTTTTTTTTTTTTTTTTTTTAATTAATTTTTTTAAAGTGGATGAGACTTTATCAAATATTAAAAAAAAAATCATATTATAATAATAATTACTTTTCTTTACCTAGATCTCGGTTTTCCGGGTGTGACGTCATAAAATCATATTGCATTTTTTAAAAAAAATTTAAGACCCTGTGATCGTCGTCATCACCATCGAAATAAAATAAAACAATAAAATTAGACAGGATACCATATTTCAAAAGATTTTAATGAAAGAGACCCACCGATCGACTTGCCCGGAAATGATCAAATTTCAAATTCCAAACCCGTCGCTCCATCTTTTTGAAAAACCGCAAAAATAAAATAAAATAAAATAAAATAAAATAGAGAAAAAAACCGCAGGTTTTTCGATTCATTTTTAAAATGAAAAGTTGGTAAAGGAAGGAAATAAAGAGAGAGAGAGAAAGAGAGGTTTAAAAAAAAAATGAAAAAAAAAAAAAAAAACGGTCGCTCATTGATTTTCGCAGGGGGCGCTTTTACAAAACGACGAATCCCACTCTAACGGTGAAAAAATGAAACTAAAATCGTGGAAAACTCCGACGCGGAACCGATAATAAAAGGCGGTGGAGTGATTCGTGCATAGCATCATAGATGTCGCTATAAATTCGTGAACGCATTTTCCACATTCATGAAATACAAACAAAAAAAAACAAAAATTTTCTTTTTATATCCGATTTCGATTCGATGAAAATTACCGCGAATCCTCATAAACAAATTAAAAAAATATTTCATAGTTGAAAAACAGAATAAAAAAAATAACGAACGCAACGCGATGGCGCCAAAAAAAAAACATTTTCAAAAATGTATCCAATCGAAAAGGGGGGGGGGAGGGAAAAAAATGGCAGAACGATCGGTTGAAAAAACAAAAAAAAAACAATTATTTAAGCCTTGAAGGAAATTTTTATTACGTTGTCGACGATAATCTCATTAGTGAAACGTAGGGATCTTATGGAAAATTAATTTCCGTGAAAAAAAAAAAAAAGGAAAATTTTACAATAACGAAAACGGTTAATTTAACGATTACAATTTTCTAACGTAAAAGGTAATAATAATAATAAATGAACAATCGTAAAAGTTACCTTTTTTTTTATAGAAATAAACGATTACAAAAAACCTCCCCCCACCTTTCTAAATAAAAATTAAATATTTCGGTTTTGTAAGTGACGTTTAAATTTTTAAATTTGTTCAGAAAAACCTCGTACAAAAAAAATTATTATTATTATTATTTTTTATTTTTGTTTTTATTTATTTGCTTTTCCACTTCAGACATTTTCATTTTTTTGGATATTTTTTTTTTTTTTAAAGTTTGAATGATAGAAAGACAGAGAGAGAAGAAGAAAAAGAGAGGAAAAAGGGAGAGAGGGAAGGAAAGAAAAAAAAGAAACAAAATGGAAGGAAGCAGCACACAATTTTCCGGAAAATTTTCTTTCGAATGAAACAATTTAGTCAATCGAACGGCTTCATTATTCGTGTCAGTTTTTTTTTTTTGTGGTGGGGGAAAAAAAAAATGGAGTCGGTGTCACCGAAACCCGCGTTTTGATTTATTTTCTCTATGCATTTCGCGCCCTCTAACGTTTTATTTATTCTGTATTAAAAAAAATTTTTTTTTTCTTATTCCACTACCAAAAAAAAATTAAGAATTCGAACCGTTAATTAAAAAGTCCGTAAAATAACTACCTTGAATAACAACTACAACAAGCAAACCTCGCCGGAAAGAGAAAGAGAGAGAGAGAAAAAAAATAATAAAATTAAAAATTTATAATCCAATCAAACAATTTCTTTTTCTTCTTTTTTTTTCGGGGGGGGGGGAAGGGAAATAAAAACCTGAAAATTTTTTTTTCTTCTCGTTTTCGAAAACAAGATAAAAACGTTAATAAGATTTCTTCTAAAGAAAATTTAATTTTTTTTTTTTTTAAATTCTCTCACTTTTCCTATTATTTAATTCTTTTTCCGTTTCTTTTCTTTTGAGACTACAGAAAAAAAAACAACAAACAAATAATAATAATAATAATAATAATAATAATAATAATAATAATAATAATAATAATAATAATAATAATGTTACATCGATTAAACTCATTTTTTTTCGATTTTTAAAATTTTTCAAAAAGAAAAAAAAATACGACAAAGTTTTCCAATCGATTTGAAATCAAATTCTTTATCATTATTATTATTTTATCATTCTTTCTCCTCCCTTCCTTCTTCCCCCTCCCCTTCCCAGCTTATAAAAAAAATTCTTGGTTTAAAAACGACTTGAAAAAATTTTTTTTTTTTTTAAATCGAGAAAAACCACGAAAAAATAATCCCACGATAAAATTTAAATCTCTCTTCGTCGAGAATAACTTTACTATTTCAAATCCGTATCTAGCAAACAAACAAACAAACAAACGAACAATAGGAAAACAACGGCGTCCAGTTTTATAAAAAAAGGTAAAACAAGAAAACACGTACAATTATTTATAAAATAATCTAGAGGTAGAGAGTTTTAAATTCAAAATGAAATAATGTTTAAAACACACACAATGAAAAACAATCAGAGAATTATGAATTGTATAATAACCAAAGAACAACACAACACGGACAAACATATATTATATGTTTATAATATGTTTAAGCAAAAGGATTTAAAATGGATTTCCAACGTTTAAAACAACTTTTTCCCAGGAGCCTTTTCCCCCCGGACCCCGGCCTCAGGTCTCCCTTACTATATCCTTCCCCCATCCTATACTTTCCTCCATTTTTTTTCCCCCCTTTAAAATAATTACAATCATCATTTTTCTGTCATTTTTGCTGTTTTTTTTTTGCAGTGCGAATTGAGGGGAGGGAAGGGAAGGGGAAGGAAGCGTGGAAATAATTACGTAAAGTGTGTCGCGTGCACAAAAAACGAACGATAATAATAATAATACTACTAATAATAATAATTAATAAAAGTGAAAATAATAATAACAATTTTTGTTTTTTTTTTTTTTTGCAACAAACTCGAAGCGTGAAATAATAATAATAATAATAATAGTAACTTTCTGCTACAACTACTAATACTGCTAGTGCGAATTTATTTTATTTAATATCGTCATCATCGTTATCGTCGAATCTAAACTTATAATAATAATAATAATAATAATAATAATGATGATAATTATATAGGTCGTTGCTTTCGTTACGATTTTCCAACAGCGAATTCGAAATCTAATCGAAAATTAAAGTTTTCCAGACGACAAACATACATGTAATTTGTTTTCACAGAGGTTAAAGACATCGCGCCACTTGAGAAAATACATGTATGCATATATCAAAACGTAATAATAATAATAATATTAACAAACACGAAAACAATAATAATGATGATGATAGATGTAAAAAAAAAAAAAAAAATCGACTTCGCGAAAGCACTTCGTAAAGAGAGAGAGAGAGAGAGAGAGAGAAAAAAAATCTGGTAAAACGGATATATATATATATAAATACAAACATTAAATAATCCGATTTCCTGTTCTTTCTTTTTCCCTTTCCCTCCCCATCTCCCGTCTCTCCCTCCCTCCCATTCCGGTCTCCAATTCCCTCCATTCATTTTTTATTATTCCCATATGAGATTTTTGATCGAATAAAAATAAATAAATAAATAAATTTTAGGCACGCGTACTTTACTTTTTTTTCTCCTTTTTCTTCTCCTTCTTTCTTTTTTTCCAAACTTGAAAAATAAACAAAAACTTAAGAAAATTAAGATGAAGAAGATAAAAAAGAAAAAGAAGAAGAAGAGGAAGAGTAAAAAAAAAATGAAAAGAATAATTTTTTATAATTAATACGACGACGACGACGACGACGATAACGAAATCTCCGCCCGTTATTTATTCAATGTCCGTGACGTGAATTTTTTTTTTTTTTTTTTAAACGTATTAATGATAATGATGATAAAGGGAAGAAGAAGAGAGAGAGAGAGAGGATGACGATGGCGACAGAATATCAAATCGATTCGTCTTAATTTATCAGAATTTCTCTCTCTCTCTCTCTAACATTTATCACGATTTTCCAAAAAAATAAAAAAAAATGATTTTCAATCGTACCTTTATACGTGGAAGAAGCTGTCTTAGAGCAGCCTGATCTCTTCTCGTTCCCAATCTGTCAACATCCGCTTCGACTCCTTCTAATGAACTTTCTGTTTCTGACAGCCAAGCTAAAAATTTATCGATCGATCTATCGAAATTATGTAACGAATTCATCGCCGAATGAAGAGATTTTCCACGATTTACGATACTGAAATGAAAAAGAGGAAAATATAAATGACTTTTATTTATTTCTTTCACGATTTTTTAAAAAAAAGTTTGATTGTTTCTTCTGATTTTCTTCACAGACCCCCATCCCCTATCCCCTTCCCTTAAGGAAAAAAAAGAAAATAAAAACTTGGAAGGAAAATTATAAAAAAAAATTTTCTTCGCATCTTTGGGTAAATTTTCTTACTTTTCTTAATCAAATTAATACGAAATTAAAATTGGGGGTGCGTAGGTGCGTGCCTGGGTGGAAAACTCACCTAGTATTGAGATTGTTATAACGCTGATTTATTTGTTCAGTCATTTTTTTAACTTTGGTAGTATCATCCTGTTGATAAACGGCTATCAACTTTTGAGTTAACGTATTAAAAAGTTCCACGTGATATTTGTATTGATGAAGTTCAGCATGAAACGACTGGAAAAAAACAGAAAATTAAATTTTTTTTTATTTTTTATTACTGATTAATTACTCGATTAAAAAAATTATTATTATTATTATTATTATTATTATTAATTTTTTTTTTTTACGTTTATTTATTCATTCACATTCGCGATAACGACAAACAACATTAAAAGAAGAGGGAGACGCTTAATCCCCCTCCTAACCCCGAAAAAAAAAACGAAATTCGAAAATGGAGGGTAGGGAAATAATAAGAAGCGATAAGAAAACATTTCGTGGGGAGGAGGGGGAGATTTTTGTCGTGTTTTTTCCATTAACGTCACTCAACCGAAAAAAAAATATATATATAAAAATTTATCGGAGGGCGTATCGGAGAGCAAAGAGGTTCCATGTCTGTTTAAATAATAATCTTAATAATAATAAAAATATCAAGACGGCGAATAAAAATTAATTACGCCCCCTCACTCCTCCCCCTCTCTCTTAGATTTACCTAAAAAAAAATAATAAAAAAAATTTACGACTTTTTGGAAGGGTGTACTTCTCGGAATTCGAGGGCCTCAGAAAAAAAAAAAAAATTAGGGGGACACGTTGGAAAAAAACGACAGGAAAAGTTTTCACGTATTCACCGGAAATAGAAAAAACGAATCGATTCGTCATAAAAAAGAAAGAAGGGAGGGGGGAGAAATTTAAGTTAATGACCCGATGAAATAATAAATTTTCAAAAATTTTTTGACTGCGGCGTAAAGGTAATTAACTCCCCCCACCGCCACTACCATCACCACCTCGTTACCTATTTTCCTTCATTCTTCCCCCTCCTCCCTCTCCCCGGAAAATCCACTTTTGAAGAAATCAAAAAATCTTTTTATTATTTCAAACGACGAAAGGAAAAGAAAAAAAATTATTAAAATAGGAAAACGAAATTTTTTTCTCTCGCATCTTCGATCACCACCATATTATTATTATTATCATTTACAAAAAAAATTTCCGCGACCGTTTCGCTCCGGAAAATTAATATTAATAATAATAATAATTAAATTTACCTTTTGCTCGCGAAGTTGAGCTTCTAAAACGTCAGCCGTGTGTCCGACGGTTCCCATTCTTTCCAATCTCGTTTCCATGCGGGTCAGCCAAGCGTCGACTTCCTGTCGTTTCGCTTCGTACCTTTGAGAATCTCCCAACATGGCGTCGAGTTGAGCTTTTCTCTGCAATACTTTTGAATTTGTTTCATCCCAATGCTCCCTTAATTTCGTTACTGGCGACATAGAAAACAAAAAAAAAACAAATTAAAAATCATCCCTTTTTTTTCCTTTATAAAAAAAAGAGGGGAAAATGGGGGTAGAAAGAAAGAGAGGGAGGGAGGAAAAAAAATTTCGAGAATTGTCGCAAGACGACAAAACCTGATACCTGATACCTACGCTTGCATCAATTCTCTTTATTTAAGACCAATTGATGAGAAAAATCCGACATTTTTAATATTTTTTTTAAATTAAATCCTTACGCGAAATTGAAAGGAAAAAAGGAAAAATTAAATACAAAATGAAACGAAATGAAATAAAAATAAAAAGAAAAATAAATACACATGAGAAAACATATGAAAAATGAAAATTCCACATGATGAAATTATATATATATTTTTATTTGCCCTCAAGAATAAAAAAAAAAAATTTTTTTTTTCTTTTTATTAAAGCAATAAAAAAAAAAAGTAAAAAGTAAAAATAAATTAAAGCACGGTCAGCAGCAGCAGCAGCGGCAGCAGCAGCAACAGCAGCGATGGAAAAACATCAAAATCAACCTTTGAGCAAAATAAAAATTTTTAAGAAAAAAAAAAAAAAATTATTCCGAAAAGAGAGTGAGAGAGTGAGAGTGAGAGAGGAGAGAGAGAGATAAAAGAACGCCCACGCTCACAACAAAATACGTATAAAGTGTATGTGGAGTGAAGAGAGAGAGAGAGAGAGAGAGAGAGAAAAAAAAACACAACAACCGCCATTTTGATATGATGCGTGATATCATGAGTTATATACGTAATAAAAAGCCAAAAAACCCAAAAATTACATTCCAAACAAACAAACAAAAAAAAAATAATAATAATGATAAACCCATCCCGAAAGAAAAGGAAAAAACCAGAAAAAAAACAGAAAAAAAAAAACCAAAAAGCTTTCCGACTTGTTGTTGTGCTCGACAATGCAACCAACCTTAGAAAATAAAAAAAGCAAAATTTAAAAAACCCCCAAATTTTTTTTTTTTTTTTTTTTTTTTTTTTACAAGGACAAAATGGGGTCGGTTACCTTTTAAGCAAGTACGAAGATGATCGAAAACCGGAGCGCAGGACACCGTTGAACTCACTGTAGATAAAAAATACATGGATGAACAACAACAACAATAATAATAATAATGGCAGAAATAAAAATTAATAAAAAAAAAAAAAGAAAAAAACTAATAGTGATGATTATCAATCAATCAATCGATCAATCGATCGATCAATGACATCATCAACGACGTGGCAAAAGAAAAATCGTAACTGTAATGATAACCGATTGACCGATTGACCGACCGACGGATTCTTCATTAAATAAAAAAAAATCGTTTTTCCAATTCTATGAACACGTGACATTCGTTTCCGGTTTTGTTTTGTTTTGTTTAACAAACAATAAATTAATTTTTACACACGAGTAAAATAATAATCATAACAACAACAACAACAACAACAACAATAATAATAATAATAATAATAATAAAACGAAATTTTAATTAAACACTTGCGAATACTTGTTTTCTCCCCTCTCTCTCCCTTTCTCTCCTTCCCTCCCCTCCGTTCCTTCCCCTCTCTCTTTTCTTTCCCGATTCGGAAAAATTAACTTTTCTTTTTTTTTTTTTTTTACACAAAACTTGTTAAAAATATTTAAAAAAAAAAAAAAAATTTTTAACGTGCTCGCTTTTTTTTCCGTTTCGTAATTTTTAGTAAAAAAAAAAAAAAAAAAAACCAAAATGGAAACGATGTAATGATAATGATAATGATAATAATAGTAATAATAATAAAATTTGACGTCACGAAACAAAATCATCATTATTTTCTTTAAATGTTATTAACGACTTATTATTATTATTATTATTATTATTTTTTTTTTATTCTTCTTTTTTTGTAAAATAAATCCATTCATCAATTTTTTTTCTTTTCTTTTCTCTTTCATTTTTCAAAAAAAAAAAAAAACTCGTTATTATCAAAGTCGTTTAATTATTGATTATCTTTTAGAGAGAGAGAGAGAAAACCGTTTCATTCTTTAAGAAAACTTCTTTATAATCTGAAGGAGGGGGCCTCGCTCGTCTCTCTTCACATACAAGCGAAATCATGTGAACAACAAAAAGCTTTTCACCATCTTTTTCTTTCTTTTCTGGAGTACCTATTCCTCCTCCCCTCCCCTCCCCTCTCTCTCTCTCATTGTTTCCCTTTAACCTCACAATAAAATTCACGTGAATTACGTATATATACATTTGTTTCAAACAAAAGAAAAACGATTAAATGTAAACTCAATGGAAACAATTGAATGTTGCGCGTTTGTGTGTTTGTGTTTGTCTGTACGTTTGTTTGTGTGACGATTTCGTACGCAATTTTCCTTTTTGTTTTACAAACGATTCGAATATTCGATTTTTGTGTTAAAAATTTTCTCCCTTTTCTCATCATTTAACAAATGTTTCGCGCTAAAGAGTGAAAACGTTCGGAAAATTCGTGAACAATGACTTCTAAATGGCATTAAAACCGATAAAAACCCGCGATTACGTTTGAGATCTCTTCCCCCCTCACTCTCTTCCTTGCTTTCCAAACAAACAAAGAATGAAAAGAAGAAGACAAAAAAAAAAAAAAGCTCGCGTTTCTAAAAAATAATAATAATTAAAAAAACCGGAAATAAACAAATTGCACGTACGTAATCAACAAACAAATTAAAAAAAAAAAAGAAAGAAGAAGATAAATAATTAATTTACTACGTTCGGGGAGAATGAATAAGAAAAGAAGAAGAAGAAAAGAAGAAAGAGAAAGAAAAAATTAAAAACTTCGCTGGAGAAAAAAAAAAAAGAAAAAACAAAAAAGAACCGGAAAAGACTTTTTAAATTATCGTCAAGTTTTTCCGCACCTAAAAAAAAAAAAACTTTTAAACGTTTTCGTTAATTATAAGCAACCTAGAGGGGGAAGGGAAACCGAACGTAAAAACGTTATAAAGCGGATGTTAAAAAATTTCTTATAATAATAATGATAATAACCGTTCGGAAATATTTATATGTATACGCTGTAATAAAAATTTTCTTTTTTTTTTTTTTTTGAAAAGGAAGAAACAAAAACTTTTTTCTTTTCCGTAAGAATTACAAAAACTTTTCATGATTCTAAAAACAAACGTCTAGAAAATTCTTTACTCGAATAAGAAAAAGAAGAAAAAAGTTTTTCAGTTTTTAAGTTTCTTCTGCTTTTATTTAAGAAAAAAAAAAGCAAAATAAAACGTCATAAAACGTTATATTAATTGATGGCATGACAAAAGTTTACAACCCCAAAGTCGTTTTTCTTCGGACTTTTTTAGACGGGACGGGAAGTGAAAAATTTTGCCAACGACCCCCTTCTCCCCCTTTCTCCCCCCACAGAAAAAAAGATGGTGAAACGACGACGACGTGGAACGTTTAAAAAATCAAACGCGTAAAATTTTTTTTTTTTAAATCATAAACCGAACGCCCGTTCGATAAATCGAATTTTCATCGAACGCATTAGGCCCCTAACCCCCCAAAAAATTATATTTATATACTTTTTACTTTTTTTTTCGAGTTCCGGCGTTCGTTTATGAAAAAAAAAAACGAACGAGCAATTTTATTAAACGTTCATTTTTTTAAAACACCGAACGCCGATCGTAAAAGGCCAAAAAAAAAAAAAAATTTAATGAAGAAATTTTATATGCCGAAAATTTTTTTTTTTATTTTCGCGTTCGTTTTACCTTCAACTTTTTCCATTCGCGAAAGAAAAACCGAAAATTGACGGTGAGATGGGGGGGGGAAACCGGAAAATAGTTTCGACTCAATTATTATCGTTTTTTTTCTTTTCAACCTTTTCCTCCCCCACCTCAACCCCGTTCGATTTTCTTACTGATTAAAAAAAAAAAATTTTTTTATTGATCTCTGCCATAATAATAATAATAATATCAACAACATTCGTGATTATTATTATTATCATCATTAACATTTTCATTATTCTTTCAACCTTTTCAAACCTTTGCCTAACCTTTTCTAACCTACACGTTTTCCTTTTTTTATGGAAAGGTAAAAAAAAAGGTTTAAAAACGAATCAACATCGTAAATAATTGATCGAAAGGTTTCAAAGGTTTCAAAAGGTTTTTCCCGTTTTCTCTCTTCCACCCCTGATTCTTCCCGTTTTCAAATTTTCAGTTTTTTTTTTTTTTTCAAATACTGATAACTTTAAAAAAAAAAAGAAATTTAATAAAAAGGGGGAGGGACGGGAGAGGAGGAGGAAAAGAAAGAGGAGGGAAGTTCACTTGATCTTAAACCTCCTTTAAAAATAAAAAATAAAATCTTGCCGAATTTTCTTTCTTTCATTTTTTATTTATTTTAAATATGGCTTCTCAAATTCTTACCCCCCTCCTCTCTCTCTCTCTTCACTTCTTTCTTTTACTCTCTATCTCTCTCTCTCTTTCACTCTCTTGAAAAAATAGAAAAAAAAAAAAATTGCTTCGTTAATACGTAATTGACTTTTAACATTTTTTTCTTTTCTTTCTTTTCATTTTTCAACCCTTTCATTCTTTCCGTCGAAAACTTTTTTAATTTTTTTTTAACTTTATTTATTTAATTAAAACGCGAAATTATGTCATTCATTTTATTTATTTATTTATTAAATTATTTATTTCGTCGCCATTTAATAAAAAAAAAAAAAATTCATTAAATTCCGCTTAGAAAAAAAAAATAAATAAATAAACCGATCATAAAAACTTATAAAAATTTTTTTTTTTTTTTCCGTATGAAAATTCGTTATTTCGTAATCCGACAACCGAATTTAAAAAAAAAAATTTTAATATAATAGAAGATAATTGAAAATAAAATTTCGCGAGTTTCAAAACTTTCGCGTTATATAGAGTTTCCAAACATTTAAATGGACTCTTTATTCGGTCGGTTGAGCGGGGGTATATAAAATGGACGCGAAATTTTTCTTACTTTTTTTTTAATGTTGTCAGAATCTGAACGGTTGCATATGTTGACGGATTCGAACGGTTTTCGACGTGACGATACGCTCACGCGCGAACAAATTTAATTTAATAAAAAAAAAAAAAAAAAAAAAACAAATTCGTTGAAATCGCGGCCATATTTCAACAGTTTTAAATTTCCCACCTTTTAATTTTTACATATGGAAATTTCGCAAACTTTTTCTTTCTTCCCCCCCTCTCTCTCTCTCTCCCCCTATTTCATAAGAAAATTTCGAATGGGAAAAAGTAAAAAATTTTGAGTCGTCATTAAAGAAAAAACAAAAACAAAAAAAATCAAATTAACATGCATTAAATGCATCGATTGAATGATTCATGTGAATAATTAAGGAGATTAAAATCGAAACGTTCCGCTTCTTGCCCCCTACCCTTCCCTACCTGCCCCCCCACTCCCCCAAATCCTTTTTCCTTTCTTTCTTTAAAATGTTAATAATAAACAAAATAATTTCACAAAAATTAAAATTTTTAAGAAGCCGAAAAATAAGAAATTCAAAAAAAAAAAAAATGGCGAAGGGAAAATTGGAAAGGAGGGAGGAAGGAAGGAAGGGGGAGGAACTTAATTCGAAAAATATTATTGACGTTTTAAATCTCTATTACTATGTTTTTAAAAAGAAAAATTTTTTCTTATTTTTTCCCTCTCTCTCTCTCTCCGTCGCCAACTAATTGATCCGATATAATATCGTCTGCTATTACTAATAACGCTTTTCTTCCGTTTTCTACGTCACAATAATGATAATAATAATGATAACTTAAGACGATGGAAAAACCGTGCAACGATGATGACGACGACGACGACCCTTGAATACTTGATTTTTCTCATTTACTAAAACTTTCGAGGTGGATTTAACTCGCGACCAAATTTTACCAATTTTCTTATCTCTCTCTTTCTCCCTCTTTCCCTCCCTTTTTCTCTCTGCCCCCTCTCTCTTTTTTAAAGTGAGATGAAAAGCACGAAAAAAAAAAAAAAGAAAAATTTCAAGCAAACATCTTAATTTTTTTTTTTTTTTTGAACGAGGAGGAAACGAAAAAACAAAAACCATCGGAAAACAATATTGAGCCTTTCATTTTTCATCATCATCATCATCACCTCTTTTTATTTTTTCCTTTTTTTTTTAA